GGTCCCTCAGTGAAGAGAGCCTGGCTGGGGGGAGGAGTCTGGATGGGAAAGAGCTCCTACCTGGAGAAGGAGACTGGGCTTAGCATGGGGACACCTAAGGGTGAATGGGGCCTGGCAGGGAAAGATCACAGAGCTGGGGAGGGGACTTGACAGGCGTGATTCAGAGCTGAGAATAGAGGAGGCACTGGCTCTGAGAGGCCAGCGAAGGGGCAGCTCCTTGGGAAAGTGATCCAGCTGAAGAGGGGAAAGGCTGGGCACGGGCTGAGGAGGGGTAACAAGCTGGGGCAGGGGATCCTGGCAAGGGTTGCTGCTGCCAAAGGGATACTGGCTGGGAATGTGGCTCGGCTGGGGAGGGGGTAGAGGTGGGTAGAGGTGAGTAGAGGGGAGGCCTGCCTAGCAGCGGTTGGGAGCCCGTCTGGGGAGCTGGCCTTGGCTGGGGAAGGGGCCTTAGTTGGGGAGGAAGGCATAAGTAAATGAAGAGAGCCTGACCCAGTTGAGGGGACCTGGCTGAGAGAGAAGGCATGGCTAGGTTCCACATTACAGGCAGGTTAAGGGCTTCTGCTGGGGAAGGTGTAATCTGCTGGGGCAGGCTCATGACGTGGGGAAAAGGGACTACCTGGAAAAGGGGGCCCAGCTCCTAAGGGGGCAGGTATTGACTGAGGACCAGCGTTATGGAAGTGGGCCTGGGTGAGGAATGGGGAAGAGGCTGGTGACACGGACCAGGGGCTAGGCTGGTATAGAGTATAAATTCATATGGGGTAAAAGAAGGATTCCTGGCTTTTGAAGGGGGGAAGGGCTAGGGAGGGGCACCTGGCTAGGGGAGGGATTCTGGAGAGTTATCGGCACACAAAGTAGGGGGGTACTGGATGCGGATGGGGCACTGTTGAGGGGGAAAAGTGAGCTGGCTGGGGAATGGGGCATGGGTTGGGCAAGGGCCCCATCTGGGGAAGAGGGCACTCCTGGATGATGTGAGCCTTGCTGGGATGCGTGCGGTGGGGTGGGGGTGGGGGGTTGGGGGGGAGGGGGCTGGTGCTGGCCAAGGAATTCTGTGGCAACTAGACAAAGACAGCAGACAGCAGAGTCCCACTGTACAAGCTATCCCTGAATATGAGGGAAGTAACTATTCCTGTCTTGGGAACCCTTAAGTTCTCACTGGGCCTGTCCCAGCTGCCTCCCCGGGGTCTGCCTTCAGCTAGAAGGAGAGGGAAGAGTTATCCCAGGCCAGATCCTAACCAGGCCCAGAGCACAAACCAAGAGAGAGTCTTCATTGTGGGATCTGGCAGGACATGAGGGATGTACAGTCTGTTCCATTTTGTAGCAATGTCATGTCCAAAAGCCATGAGCACTGTTCCCAAAGGGATCCAATTCCAGAAGCAAGTTTCATTCATTTACTATTTTTCATTTGTGCTTTGTCATGTTCTCCCCCTCTTGCCATAGCAGCCAAAAATAAGGTACATTTATCTGGGTCTGAAGCCCAGCTCATCTAATCTACTTCCAGCTTTGTGACTTGGATAAATCACCAAGTCTTTCTG